TGGTTTCACCATCATCTTTTCTCTGGATGCCCTGTCATCTTTTCTTTTGGTTCACTGTCATCTTTTCTCTTGGTTCCATGTTGTGTATTGGGTTCACTGTCATCTTTTCTCTGGGTACACCATCGTCTTTTCTCTGTGTTCATTGTAGTCTTTTCTGTGGTTTCACTGTCATCTTTTTCTGGTTTCACTATCATCTTTTCTCTGGATGCCATGTCAACTTTTCTCTAGGTTCACTCTTGTATTTTCTCTGGGTTCACTGTCGCCTTTTCTTTGGGTTCACTGTTGTATTATCTCCGGGTGCACCATCATCTTTTCTCTGGGTTCTCTATTATCTTTTCCATGGTTTCAGTGTCCTATTTTTGGGGGGTTTCACCATCATCTTTCCTCTGCGTGCACTGTAGTCTTTTCTCTGGGTTCATCATCATCTTTTCTCTAGAATTACTGTGATCTTTTCTCTAGACTTACTGTGATCTTTTCTCTGGGTGCACCATTGTCTTTTCTCTGGGTTCATTGTCGTCTTTTCTCTTTGTTCACTGTATTGTTTTTGTTTTTGTTTTTTTCTGGATTCCTTGTCATCTTTTCTCTGGGTGCACCATTGTCTTTTCTCTTTGTTCACTTTGTTTTTTTGTTTTCTGGATTCACTGTCATCTTTTTTTGGGTGCACCATCATCTTTTATCTGGATTCACTGTTGTCTTTTCTCTGGGTGTACTGTCGTCTTTTCTCTGGGTTTACTGTTGTCTTTTTTTGGGTGCACCATTGTCTTTTCTCTGGGTAACTGTCATTTTTTCCTTGGGTTCACTGTCATCATTTCTCTGGGTTCACCATTGTCTTTTTTCTGGGTTCACTGTTGTATTTTCTATGGTTGCACCATCATTTTTTCTCTGTGTTCCCTGTCATATTTTCTCTTGTTTCACTGTCATATTTTCTCTGGATTCACCATTGTATTGTCTCTGGGTTCACTGTCATCTTTTTGGGGGGTTCACTGTCATCTTTTCTTTTGTTTCACTGTCATCTTTTCTCTGGATTTACTATGGTCTTTTCTCTGGGTGCACCATTGTCTTTTCTCTGGGTTCACTGTCGTCTTTTCTCTTTGTTCAGTTTTTTTTTTTTTTTTTTTTTTCCTGGATCCACTGTCATCTTTTCTCTGGGTGCACCATTGTCTTTTATCTGAGTACACCATGGTCTTTTCTCTTGGTTCATTGTCATCTTTTCTCTGTTCATTTTTTTGGCTTTTTTTTTTTCCCTGGATTTCCTGTCATCTATTTTTGGGTGCACTGTCATCTTTTCTGTGGGTTCACTGTTGTCTTTTCTCTAGGTGCACTGTCATCTTTTCTCTGGTTGCACCATCGTCTTTTTTCTGGGTTCACTGTTGTCTTTTGTTTGGGTTCATCATTGTCTTTTCTCTGAGTAAATGCTCATCTTTACTCTGGGTTCACTATCGTCTTTTCTCTGGGTTTACTCTCGTGTTTTTCTTTGGGTGCACTATCATCTTTTCTCTGGGTTCACTGTCATCTTTTCTCTTGCTTCACTGTCATATTTTCTTTGGGTTCACTGTCATGTTTTTTTTGGGTTCACTCTCATCTTTTTTTTATTTCACTGTCTTTTCTCTGGGTTCATCGTCATCTTTTCTCTGGATTAACTGTGGTCTTTTCTCTGGATTCACTGTGGTCTTTTCTTGGGTGTACCATCATCTTTTCTCTGGGTTCACTGTCATCTTTTTCTGGGTGCTCCATCATGTTTTCTCTGTGTTCACTGTTGTCTTTTCTCTGCGTGCACTGTCATTTTTTCTCTGGGTGCACCATCATCTTTTCTGTTGGTTCACTGTTGTCTTTTCTTTGGGTTCACCATTGTCTTTTCTCTGGGTAAACTGTCATCTTTTCTCTTGGTTCATTATTGTCTTTTCTCTGGGTTCACTCTTGTATTTTCTCTGGGTGAACCATTATCCTTTCTCTGGGTTCCCTGTTACATTTTCTCTGGTTTCACCTTCATATTTTTTCTGGGCTCACCATCGTCTTCTCTCTGCATGCACTGTCGGCTTTTCTCTGGGTTCACTTTCATCTTTGGGATCACTGTTATTTCTTTGTGTTCACTTTAGTGTTTTTTTCTGTGTTCACCATCGTCTTTTCTCTACTTTCGTTTTTTCTCTGGGTCCATTGTCATCTTTTCTATGGGTTCACTGTCATCTTTTCTCTCGTTTCACCGTCATCTTTTTTCTATGTGCACTGTCTTCTTTTCTCTTGATGCACCATTGTCTTTTCTCTGAGTTCACTGTCTTCTTTTCTCTCGGTTCACCATTGTCTTTTTTCTGAGTTCACTGTTGTCTTTTCTCTGGGTTCACTGTCATCTTTCCTCTAGGTTCACTATCGTCTTTTCTCTGGGATCCCCATCTTCTTTTCTCTGGGTGCACCGTTATCTTTCTCTGCATTTCTCTATTGTATTATTTCTGGGTTCACTGTCATCTTTTTTCTTGGTGAACCATCATTTTTCTTTGGTTTCACCATCCTCTTTTCTCTGGGTTCACTATTTCTCTGCATTCACCATCTTTTCTTTGGTTTCCATGTTGTATCTTGTATTGTTTTACTGTTGTCTTTTCTCTGGGTTCATCATCATCTTTTCTCTTTGTTCATTGTCGTGTTTTCTCCTTGTTAGCTGTCATCTTTTCTCTGATTTCACTGTTGTCTTTTCTCTTGGTGCCCTGTCATCTTTTCTGTGGGTTTACTGTCATCTTTTGTTTTGGTTTATTTTCATCTTTTCACTGGTTTCACTGTCGTCTTTTCTCTGGTTTCACCATTATCTTTTCTCTGGGTACACTGTCATCTTTTCTCTAGGTTCACTCTTGTATTTTCTCTCAGTTCATTGTCATATTTTTTCTGGGTTCACTTTTGTATTTTCTCCAGGTGCAGTGTTGTCTTTTCTCTCAGTACACTGTCATCCTTTCTCTGTGTGCACCATCGTCTTTTCTCTGGGTGCACCGTCGTCTTTTTTTGAGGTTCACTGCCATATTTTCTCTGGGCTTACTGTTGTATTTTCTCTGGGTTCACCATTGTCTTGTCTCTGAGTGCACTATTATCTTTTCTCTAGGTGCCCTGTCATATTTTTTTCTGTTTCCATTCATTTTTACTCTGGGTTCACTGTCGGGTTTTCTTTGAATTCATCATTGTCTTTTCTGTGGGTCTACTGTTATCTTTTCTCTGGATGCAGTGTCGTCTTTTTTCTTGGTTCACTCTCGTCTTTTCTGTGGGTTCACTGTTGTCTTTTCTCCGGGTTCAGCATTGTCTTTTCTCTCATTTCACTGTCATTTTTTCTCTGGGTACACTATCACCTTTTTTCTATGTGTACCATCATCTTTTCTCTGGGTACACTGTCGTCTTATCTCTGGGTGCACCATCGTCTTTTATCTGGATTCACTGTCATCTTTTCTCTGGGTTTACTGTTGTATTTCTCTGGTCTCACTTTTGTCTTTTCTCTGGGTTCACCATCGTGTTTTCTCTGGGTTCACTGGCATTTTTTTTTTTTTTTTTTTTTTTAGTTCGCTTTTTGAATTTTCTCTGGGTTCACCATCGTCTTTTCTCTGGGTTCACTGTTGTGTTCCTGGATACAGGAAATGTGGTATCTACTCTCTCAAGCTGAGTTTAGCCTAACACTGCCTCCTTGTAAGTTGGGTCTAAAGGCTTCTTCGTACACAGTGAGCTGTCAGCTAACGGGAGGGTAAACAGACTATAACTTACTGTTGTACTAATCACCAAGTAGTGATTAATACACTACTAATCAGCCAATCACAGGCAGCCAACTGCTCAAACCATGTTCAAAAAAGGCAAACACCATGTTGTAACAATGAGGAGGTTCAGTACCTCACTTCCATTTTTTATGCATCACTTTCCTTTTTCTCTCCATGAATTCTCGCCCACCTGGAAACAGTGTGGGGTCTTTGAACCTGTTCTGGTTTGGGGACTGCCAAATTCGTCAAGAGTTCTTGCTTAAACTCTGTTACTTTTAATTTATCTAAGGTTTTTCTTTTAACAATGAAATACTTCAGCCAAATTAAATTTACAATAGTTTAATTGAGCAATGAATGATTCATGAATCATACAGCCCCCAGAGTCACAGCATATTCAGAGATACTCCAGAGGTGCCTCATGGTCAGAACAAATTTAGAGATATAAAAAGTAAAATGACATATAGAAATCGGGAGTGAGGTACAGAAACAGCTGGATTGGTTACAGGTTGGTGTTTGCCTTATTTGAACACGGTTTGAACACTCAGCAGTGTATGAGTGGTTGAAGTATGGCTGCTGGGATTGGCCAGGACTCAGCGATTGTTACAGGTGCACACTTCTAAGTTGGGGTTGCAATCTTGTCTACCTATTAAGTTGGGTTACGGTTCATCCACAAGGACTCAAATATAGAAGTACAGAGCCCTTCTCAGGCCATATTTACTTCACTTTATCACTATTCAGCCACAAAACAGAATGAAATCCTATCATTCATGTTATCATGGATGGAACTGGAGAACATTATGTAAAGTGAAATAAGCTGAGAACAGAAAGTTAAACACTGCATGTTCTTACTACTATATGGAAGCTAAAAAAAAAAAAAAACCCGTGGATCTAATTGAAGTAACAAGCACAACAGAGGATTCTAGAGGCTAGGAAGGCTAGGAGAGGGGGCATAGGGAGACATATTTTAAAGCACACAAAGTCACATCCACACAGGAGGAAGGAGTCCTAGTGCTCTATGCCACTGCAGGGTGACCAGGGTTAACAGTAGTGTAATATATAATAGTTTCAAATAGCTGGAAGGAGGATATTAAACATCCCCACCACAGGAAATGATAAATATTTGAGACAATGGATATGCTAATTACTCTGATCAGATCGCTATACAATATATGTGACAAAACTTCACTAAGTACCCTATGAATATATACAATTATTATTTTTCAGTTAATAAAATAAAATAATGAAAATAAGGGAAAAATGACACTCATTTGTATTGAGTACCTCTTGGAAAGCAAACTTGTGCAGGAACAGGAGAGGGCACCAGTGTACCACGACCTCACCCTGTGTTCTCCCAGCACAGCCAGGGAGCAACTGGGTCTGGCTGACGATGAACTGAGCTGCAGACTTTCCCTGTTGGGTGCTGTTGAGCCCTGCAGTGTTGCGCACTGCAGAAGGGATCATGGGAATGCCTGTACTGCCCTCCAGGGTCTCTGACTGAGCTTCCATCCCGAACACTCTCCCTCACTGCCCTTTTTGGTCCTGGGGCCTGTGTGTAATTTGGGAAATGTCCATTGGTTGCCTTGCTGGCTGAAAATACAAGGCCACGGGTGTCCTTTTAATCTGTGTTCCTGGAAATGGTTCCTTCATGTTTGTGGAATAAATAAATGAATGAACCAACACACCAAAGTGCAGGGAGGGAAGGACACAAGGGTCTACATCTTTTCCTTTAAATTAATGGAGTAAAACATTTTGTATATTGTTTTCTGTGTGTGTGTATGTGTGTGTGTGTGATCACTTTTGTCCCCCAGACTCAAGTGCAGTGGCATACTCTGCTCCTGCAACCTCCCCCTGCCTGGTTCAAGTGATTCTCCTGCCTCAGCCTCCCAAGTAGTTTGGGTTACAGGTGTGCATCACCATGCCTGGCTAATATTTTCTTTGTATTTTTAATAGAGGCAGGGTTTCACCATGTCAGTCAGGCTGCTCTCAAACTCCT